TATACACACTCACTCACACACACCCACACCCATACACACAGACAGGGGCGACGGCAATATACGTCCACGTTATGAATGTGGACGTATAAAAATGGTCGGTACCATGTGAAAATATAATGTTGTCTAATATAAGTATGATTGAACCAAACTGCGTTGGTTTCTTTTGCAATTTGTTTGGGGTCACTCCACTTTTGAGATTAATATGCCCCGCCTAATGGGGCAGCGAGTGGTTTTCACAACAGAATAGTAAATGACATCCTGTTCAGATTCCTTGATTAATTGTGTATCAGCACACTAGTATTGGTTGATATCAAACTGGTCTATAACTACATATTGTGTACAGTGTGAACAATTCAGTCAGGCTTTAAAAATTTCGATTTGACTTTGTTGACAGTGATCATCTGTCGTATGTCAGTAAGATCAGATGAAATCCAGGACAAGGCCCTGCCGAAAATGTGAAAGTAGTTACAAAGTCTCCTAAGCAGAATATGTTGACCCGCCAGTATGATTAAGGGTACACGTTTGTCATCATCGGCGGAGCACATCAGATCATTCAGAACAAGAATCATTGTTGTCTCGGTACTATGATTTGGTCTGAAAGCAAGCAGATAATGAGAGACAACAAATGACTGTAATCGTTTGTTTATGGCCTTTTCGATTAATTTGGAGAGGTCTAGACTGGTCTGCAATTCCTGAGAAGATTAAGGTCGATAAGGTTTCTTGATGGAAAGTGTCACAACAGCATTTTTATATGGAAAGACTCTTGGCTTAAGGAGATTGTTAGAAGAGAATCGAGGGGACAAGTTGTCTTCTTTTAGGATTTCTTTTACTTTCTCAATCTCGTTGTTAGAGAATAAAGAATGAGCTGACAAGGTTCTAGTTTAAGAATTCATTCTAGGGTGTGGCCTGATTTGTTAGTAGTTTTCTGAATTTGTTGAGATGACAGCTATGGATGGATGATAAACGTTTGATAATCTTCTTGTAGCTTGCCCATTCTGGTTTATCAAAAGGAATGTTAAAATCTCCCAAAATAATTCAATTTTGTCTCGTTGCCATTGGTACGAAAACAAAGAGTTCCTCTACGAAGTTCTAGTTTCATAACTGGATAGTCTCTTAATGGATAGAGAAGTTCGCAATTGAACCCAGCACCGCCACCAATACCACTTGATCTGGGAGCATTAAAGAAATAATATCATGGCGGTGTAAGTTCAGATATTCTGGGGGCGTCGCCATCTACTTTTAGCCACATTTCTGCTAGAAACAAAATATCTGTACTGTCACCAATGATTAAATCAGCAATATCCAAAGCCTTATTGCGGCAAGATTGTGTGTTTAAGAGGGCATCATGTACTTTCGGTTTAGAGTTGGTGTCATTCTGGGATGGTACATGTATGTTTTTCTGCTCATGCACTAGGAATCTGAAGGATATTTTATATCAGCTTTATATTTTGAGACACCACGCCTCCACGAAAACATTTTAAATCACACAAAGTCTGAATGTGTGCAAGGCATACAGCGGTATCCCCCCCTCCCCCGAAATTATTTTGAAATTTCCCCTTCATTTTGTGAAGTCTAGATAATACCTTTTATTAATTAATCTGGCAGTAATAAATTGTTTGGTTGTGTATTATTGGTTTTCTTGCATGAGCTATTGAAATATGTGTTGGGGTTAATATCGCAATAATGACATCACAAGAGGATACTATCCAAAATAAAATATAGAACAAATCATGATGTTACATAATGTGGTCTTATATTATTTATATCGATATGCATAAATCACTTGAGGTAATCATCTATATAATATATTAAATCGCGCTGCCATTGATGCGTTTTGTTAATGTGAATTTCTGTATTCTGATTACTTCCTTTGGGAATATCCCGAATAGTTTTGAAACTGAAAATTAATTTCTGTTTTGGTCATCAATTGTCTTCTTGTAATCAATACAAAAAAATCACCACTAGACTAAAATTGACACATTCTGTTTAGAAAATAAATTACTCTATCGATTGGACGTTTAATTAAAAATGTCCACGCTACCTCATTCCGAACACTGACCTCGTCTGAAAACAGCACATTTCTGAACACAAAGTTCGGCCCCGTCTAAAAACAATACTTCTCTGATTACAGACTCCTACCCTCGTCCGAAAACAGCACATTTCTGAATACAGAGTACTACCCTCGTCTGGTAACTGCACATTTCTGATCTGAAAACAAAGTACTGCCTTCGACAGAAAACTGTAAGCCTTCATCCGAGAACTTTATTGGTTTACCGTTCTGCTTGCACGTGGTGTCAGACACGCCGGAAATGAAGGCGGGTTGCTTTCTTCGTAGGATTTATGCTTTAATAATCACTTTTAAATAATGGTAATTTAAAATATCATTTAATCGTGTTGACGTCTTATTGCGTACGAACGATCATCCATGTTTATAGAGATAATTCCTGAATTACATTATTATAGTAAGTAAAGGAGGATCGCACCACACAAGACAAACTAGCGGACAATATAGGTAATATAAATAAGCAACAAACGTATATCAAATCAAGTGGGTGGATCCGGGGGCCAGTTGTAAGCGACCAGACAGTCTCGGGTTTGTAAAACAGAGAAAAATTTAGCAATGAATACAAGAAAGGGGCAACAAAAAAGATTCGAACGGTCTTGGCGATGGTCATCAGCTTTTCGATTTCCTTGACGGTGAAAGTCTGCCAATTGATTATTATTATCATTAGTAGTTTTTTTTATAGTACGACGTAGTATAAATGTTTTTATAAAGATTATTATTGGGCATTATTATGTTTTTACTCTTTTTAGAAAAAAAGTACATAGACGAAATTAGACAAATATTAGACATCAAGGGACCTAATTTTAAGCCTCAATTTGAAAAAAGTGACAATTTTGAGATTTCAGAATCGGTTACAAATAGGTGAATTATGCCAAAAATGTCAACAAAAATTGTCTGATTATCTCCCTTTTGAAACAGAGGTAAGATTTCTAGAGTAATTTTGCATCATTTGAAAATATTTGAGTTGTTTTTCAACTTTTTAGAGTGCCCTTAACATGTTAAATTTCACCAGAAGAGCCACATTTTGAAGACATGGGTCAATCTTCAAAATCTATTGAGTCCTACAATTTTTATCCGATTTTTAATATCTTTATATTTATTGGAAACCATTCACAATTCACAATCAATCGGTGCAATAAGAATATTGATACCTGAATTTTTTTTAAAACAATGTAGAACTTTTAAAAAGAAGGTAAAATGTTGACGATAATAATCAATAATGTGGACGTATTATGCCGTCGCCCGTGACCGTCCGTCAGTCAAAAATTTGTTTGTGGGCACTCTACAGGTCATATTTTTATTCGATTTTGACGAAAATTGAAATATAGGTCTATCCCCGAAAGATTTCGGTGATATTGGCATGGATTATGACCCCTGTGGACACTCTAGAGGTCACAATTTTTATCTGATTTTGATGAAACTTAAAATGCATGTTAATAATACAAAGATCTTTGCTCCTGGTGATATTCGAGCATATCGGATCGTAAATTCCCGAATTATGGCCCCTGATTGTACGAAAAATCGCGTTTTTAGCTTGTGGACCCAATATAGAGGTCACAATTATTATCCGATTTAAAAACCCGGTTAAATATATCACCGTTATACCGTAAAGTCGAATTTCGTCATAATTGGACCGAAACTGCCGAAACAAAATGGCCGCTCCTCGTACCGAATAGTGTAAAAAAAATATATGGTTTTTCATGGTTGTGGACACTCTGGAGGCCACAATTGTGATCGAATTTTGATGAAACTTTAAATTTATGTTTATATTACACAGATCGCATTGTTAGCTTGTGGACTATCTAGAAGTTACAATTTGTATTCTGTTTTATAAAACGTTTAAATATCACCGTTAAATATCAATGAGGGTTGAGTTTGAATTTCGTAAAAATCTGACCGAAACTGCCCGCTCATTGTAAGCAAATAGGGTAAAAGTATGTAATACCAAGGTTGTGGACACCCTAGAAGTCACAATCTAGACAATGTGAAATTCACCTGAATTTCCTCCATTCTGAAAACGGAAGTAAATCTTTAAAATATATCACGTCCTACAATTCTTATTCGATTTTCACTATCTTTATATTTTTGGAAACCATTCACTATTAGCAATCCATCGACGGGTTAGAATTTTGATAGCTGTTTAATTTTTTTTAAATGACTCCATTATATTGAATTTTTTAAAAATAAATGTCAAACTTTGAAATCGGGTAAAATGTTAATGGTAAACGATTAACTAAGCCAGTTAGTGTTTATTCTGAAAGTTTTGCCACAATCAGTCTGTAAACATAGGTTATGTGCAATTTGTTTAAAAAAAACAGGATATTTTGCCCCGCTGAAATGTTTTAGTTGCGACTTTTTGACAGATCTTAATAATTCTTTTTTTCTTTAAGAGAAAAGAAACCAGGACAACAAAACACGTGTATCGACTAGATATTGAAATTAATGTATAAGCGTGTGATCGGGCTGTATAAAAACTATCAAACCTGTTTCGAGGACTGGTCTAGTTATTATTATTATTATTATATTATTATTATTATTATTATTGTTGTTGTTATGAATCTGTATCTATAGCAGACATATTATATATTTTGCTATGCATAAATTCAACTGATCAGTGTAACACAAAAGGAAAATATGATGAACGATATACACTCAATAAACATACTGGCTCACAAAGTTTGGCACGCAATTGGATAAAAGACCATTGTACAAAAAGTAATTAGAATTGTTGTGGTATGATAGATTAATTATTTTCGTGAATAACTGGGCCATTCAGATAATGATAGACGATTGGAAGTAATTACGAATATCGTATAATATGGCATTGGTATATCGAAATTAGATGTCAAGATGTCAATTTTCTTTCCTTTTTATTTGGACAATGTAATGAGCTCGTGGAAGTAATAGAAATATGTTGTCGATTTTCTAATCTGCTATTTTGTGTTCAGTCATCGAAATACTCCTCGAAAGAAGACCAATTTACGAAGTTGTTTCGTGAGTGATGCTTTCTTAATGTGATTAACTCTTCTTCTTAAGGCAGTTTTGATACTTCTCCTATGTATTTTTTTTTATATTAATCTGAACTAAAATTGGACTAAAATATAAAAAGTTTCCCAACGTCATCTATTTTTAATTCCAATAGTTTCTATTTACTAATGGCGAACTACTGAACTTATGTAATTGGAATACCTCAATGTAGACGCAAAATATAAAGGGAACTACATTGTAATTGGATAAATGATAGTCTAAATGACAACAGAACCAATATTAGTAATCACTACAATGCGCAACGTTGGTTGTATTCCTTCAGAAACATAATTATGTTCACACAATTATAGGATAAACAAAAGTGAATATATAATCGATCCTCTAAAATACGGTTGAGTTTTACACTTTGCACTATTTAAATGTACGTCCGTCAGAGGTAGTATCAGAGGTTCTAGAAGACAATTTTACCGTTAAGGATGTATTTTCAACTGATCTGGGATTTCCTGTTCGTGTGGTTTGTATTTTCAAGATTTCTTTCTGTAAAAAGTAAAGGTTAGTATTTTAGTTATATAAATCAATGTTCTTTTTTTTTCATAACCTTGAAAGTCAAAATATTCCAGACTAAGAGACAAGTTTCGCAAAATATTGATAAAATGGTTCAATTCCAAGTTTTTGTCATCTGAGTTCACATTCCCCTCTGTTGATTTTTCTTCGTAAATTAATTTCTTATAATTGCCTGTCGGTGACTAAGGACAAGTCCTTTCTATCTATAACCATATAACACTATATAGGATGGTGCCAATCTCATTAAAATGCAGATCATCCGTCCGTCCGTCCGTCAACAATTTGTTTGTGGACACTCTACAGGTCACAATTTTTATCCGATTTCAACCAAACTTGAACTATAGGTTTATCTACCTAATATCTCGGTTCCTTTCGATATTGGCATGTATCGGACCATAACTTCATGGATTATGGCCCCTGATTGTACGAAAAATCGCGTTTTTAGCTTGTGGACACTCTAGGGGTCACAATTTTGATCAGATTTTAATGAAACTTGAAATGCATGTTAATAACCCAACGATCTTGTTTCCTTACGATATTCGCGCATATCGGATCGTAACTTCCTGAATTATGACCCATGATTGTACGAAAAATCGCGATTTTGGCTTGTGGTCCCTCCAGCAGTCACAATTTTTATTCGATTTAAAAACAATTTTTAGTATATCATCGTTACACGGTAATGAAGATTGAGTTTGAATTTCGTGAACAAAATGGCCGCCGCTTGTACGCGAATAGCGTCCACATATGGTATATCAAGGTTGTGGGTCCTGTAGAGGTCACAATTTTAATCAGATTTTGATGAAACTTGAAATGCATGTTTATAACCCAAAGATCTTGGTTTCTTTTGATATTTGCGCATATCGGATCGTAACTTCCTGGATTATGGTCCCTGATTAGTCGAAAAATCGCATTTTTAGCTTGTGGATTCTCTAGAGGTCACAATTATTTTTTCGATTTTAAAAACCGTTTAGATCACTATTCCACCATAATGAATGTTGAATTGGAATTTTGGGAAAATCAAAATGAAACTGCCGATAAAATGGCCGCTCTTTGTATGCAATATGTATATAAGTATGTAATTCAAAGGTCATGGACCCTCTAGAGGTCACAATTTTTATCCAATTTTCATGAAACTTAAAACATATCTTTATATTCCAAAAATCTCAGTCCCTTTTGATATTTGCGCATTTCAGACCATAAATTTCTGGATTATGGCCCTTGATTGTACAAAAAATCGTTTTTGTTTTTAGCTTGTTCTCGATCCATCTCTTGCAAAATGTTGGGGCGTATCCTGCCTGGCAGTCGCTGGTTTAACACTTTTGATGGCCTCCACTACAAGAAAATCTGGTCGGTTGTAGTGGGAGGTCGCGTCAGGGGTCATCCGATCGGCATTTGACCCTATGATGTCACGCATTTGATTAACCAATCAGAATAATTGATGATTCAAGAGGCTATTTGTCTTCGCTGCGAATGTCTAGCCACAGTTCCGTTCACCGTATACCAAGAACTGGGTCCAACAGACCAATTGAATAGCCAATCCCCCACAGTAACAAGAACGCGCGTTATATAACAACTCTTCCAGATGCTAGTGTAGTAAAGACAACAATCGAAACGAAATAGGATCTGTGTTTTAATCAGACTAAGATGGTATCTTATTTTTAAAATTATACAGATAATGCGTAGATTGTCATTTCAATAATTCTAGTGCAACATATGTTCATAATGATATAAAATAGTGTAATGACAAAAAACTTCATTTGAATTGTGGCCAATCACGTCCTGAAAACATGTAATGGTTGAAAATCTCTTTGGAGGACACATTGGTCATCCTGCAATCGTTTAATTGAAAGCCTGTAACCAGGATAGTCTTACATTCCTCATTGACAAAACTGGCAGACGTGTTGCAGGATTGTTTGACACCGTAGTGGCACATCTGGTGTGTTTAAACTCCGAAATATTAATCAACTTTTATGTTGATTTATCAAAACAATACTTTAATGTATTTTCAATGTGGACACACTCTACCATCTCACACTCATGTATCCAGCTTTCCCAATACTAACATGCAATCAAAGACCGAAACGTTTACAGTATCCAGTATTTGTTAACAGTTTAAATGCGATCTAGATTAATTTTAATATATACAACACGAAGACGTGCACGTAAAATAAGCCATGGTGGTAGGCCGTAGAGCTGATGCCCGGGCTAGATACCCCTCATAGCACATTGTATTGCGTATGCCCGTATTCAGTTCCCCATGTAGGTTTCAGAACATCAGGACGTTAGATCAAATTTTATTTCATTTCTATTTGTTTTAATTGGGCATCGAACAGATCATACGATAGCAGGAATCTACAAACATCTGTTGTCTTGTTGAATCTGTAAAATTACACGAAATTACTACGTGAAATAATACAAATTGTCTTGTTAAAAAAAGCCAATAAAATGTTTATTTTAGCAACACTCACGTTGCCATACAATCTGCTACGATGAAAATATAGTCCGGGCAGCGACGTTTCCGCCTACACTTCATCGATTTCCAACACTCAAGGGTTATTTAACGTGCTTACCAAATTGTTTCATTGCATGGTAAAGCCTAGAAAAGCCTCGTCGAATCGTTGCTCTGTAATAAGCAGTAATTATATTCCATTGAATCGTTACCTGTATGTGCTAATGCTAGGTTCCCGCTATCGTAATTCGTGCTGTGATTGAAATCCTGGTTTTAATCGTGGAGTAATCGTGGTGATCCTATTAGATCAGTCGTAGCAATCCTGTTCATCGTATCGAAACGTATCTGCACGTACCAGAGAGTAAACCCAGGAGATGAAGACCACATTTACTGGTTTTGTGAGCACCCGTACCCCAGGGCCTAGAAATGGTTCCACTACTAATGTTTTCCGCCTTACTCCAGCCACAGTAGTGGCTCATCCTACGAGAGTTCCTTTGCGCAAGTTTTTTAGTGAAATCACTACAAAAAGGTTACGGCCTATAACTCCCTTAATTTACACATAAACTGACCCAACACAGTACCGCACCTAGCTTAACATATAATAAATCAATTCCTGTTGAAATAAGGGTGAAACCTTACCGCATAATTATATGATTTGATTTGATGAAACTCAACTGCTACGCGAAATTTCAACTGGCGTGTCATGGCCGCCATGGCGGCTTGTGTGTAATACGTCATTACAAGAAACATCGCTATGCAAATGTAGAACGCATAACCACAAAGAAAAACTGTTCGGTAACTGTTTAGTGGCCCAGTCTTCACTATTTGTCATAGAATTACTTATTCCAATACAAACTGTAATGATATGTGTTGACAATTGTGCGTTTGAACCTATTTGAACTTGCGTAAGGATTCTTAGACTATATCAATTGTAACGTTAAACACACAGTTTAACGTTACAAGTATAGTAACTACCTAGGGCCCACAAAGTCTTAATCCGACTCTGAATGTTATTGCACACAGTGAATTGAGATTGGAGATACCATTTTTATGTTTTTTAGCTTTAATGTTCCGTGTTAAGCTTTTAAGCTAGTAGCCGACACCACATAATGTTATCAGAAAAAAACATTTTGCTCCAGGATCAGGAAATGTAAAAGATCTTTGCTTTGACTAATTGAGATATGTATTCTGAATAAAAATATCGATAGTTCTGGGGTTCTAACCCCGCAGTATTTTTATTTAGCGCTCACGTTTGGCGGATTATTTTACTGCGGAAGCTTACTCTTTAAATCATATTTGGACATAGGTACTGATCACGTGTCTTTAATTAGCCAATCGTTGATATGTAAACAAACGATAACACGTGGTTTATTATTTACTACACATGCAGACACAATGACACTGTTTTTTCTATATTATATGGAAACATTTTAAGATAAATAGAACAACGTAACGTGGGTTCAGTCAGCCTGAAGATTAAAATATGAACGAAACTAGTCGCAATTTATCTCTTATAAAAGTATAGAAATATGATAAAATATGTATGCTGGTGGTTTGGCTGATAAGAAATTGTAACCCGATTTTGTAAACTCGTGAGATCTTTTGTAGGCCTGCATGTTATTTTTACTTCACTTGTGACCAATGTCTGGATCCATTTATGGTGTCCCTAGCCCCATATCCTCACCAATAACACTATAAAATTCACAAATTATTGTGTTTCAACGAAACATGTAAATTTTAAGTTTTTGTTGCTTGGGGTGATGTGAGAAGCCCCACCCCTTACAAAATATTCTGTAAACTTTTTGTAAACTCGTGAGATCTGTCGTAGGCCTGCATGTTATTTTTACTTCACTTTTTTACCCACCCCCTACTCCAAAACCGGTATGAAATTCACTAATTACCGTACATGTATTATGTTTTTGCTGTCTCACTAACCAAGAGATCCGTTGGTGTGGCGCATAAAAGAACCCAAAACAGTTGGTATTCTACAAAATAATAAAAGTAGGTCGTAGTTCCGCTGTACAGGCAAAATTTCCCCATAGCATTACACAACATATGTATGGATAAGTATCCCTTCGCTCCTTCTTGCCTTTACGTTGACTAAGTGTAAAGCTAGGAAGCCGTGACAAATAGTCCACATCTCCTAGTTTCGCTCAGGTTCAACGCAAAGGCAAAAATTAATCAGTCACTTCTCTACTTCAATTTTTTATTTCTTGCGACTTGCTTTGTTAGGAGTTAACAGCGCAAAGGACAGAAATGAACAAGGTGAAATTAAGAAGTTTCTTGGCTTCGTGCTGATAATTTCCTTATCACAGAGATCATTGCTACGATAGATGAGTAGTCAATGTTTCAACAATAGGAAGTGACGAACGCAAAAGGAAAGCACGAGTTATCCCTTTATATAACTGAATGAAGTGACAGGGGATAACAGATACATGGGCGAATTTCTGCTCACTAATAATTCCTTCGAAGACCAAAAGTTGTGTTATGGGACTGTGAAAGGATATCTGACAATTCATAAACAAAATTGACTCTCACT